GGGGGGGGGGGGGGACATGACCACAAGCCTATCATAGTACCTCAAGCCTAAAAAGGTTGAGGACCGCTGGGGTAAAGAAACCCATGACTCCACTGCAAAAGGAAAATGTCCTCTACAGACCATGGACTCATGCTGCCTTGGAAGCACTTTCTTTTGCCTTTGTGAAAAACAGAACTATCAACAGATTTCCCCATTTGCAGAAAGTCCTCTGTGATAGATTGCTACAATGACAGCTCATGACTGGGGGCAAACTGCCTTCTCAGGACACCAAGTCTGTCACCAAGTTCACACATACTGGACACATCTACACATGTATTAATGAGTCATAATTACTGTGCATTAATTTTAGTACCTGCAATAACAGGTACTAACTCAATACACAGTAACTGGCATTACTGTCCTGTAGCACTGGCACATACTATTTTAGTGACACTAATGCACAGTAGACTAACTCTACTGTGCATTAGCACCTTAGCACAACTTTCGCCATGGCACGCTAATGCACAGTACAATTAGTCTACTGCACATTTAGAATCTTGTGTTGACATACCCACTGGGTATCTTCTGCAAAAGCAAATGACTCACATGCTTCTCCTTAGCCTCAGGCTCTGTCCTGTTCATTGACAGCAGGGCACTCCGATCTTGCAGCTGCACTATTGTAGCAGTCTGCAGGTGCCTGGGGACAGCATTCCCCTTTTTTATCTGAGGAGCTCTTGGTTTCCCTTCTGTAGAACTAAAGACAACACAAAGAAGAAGATTCAATACTGCCTCATTTCAAGAAATCAGGTGCCAAGGACAGGACAAATGCACCCAACTTTTCTCAAAGGGACAATACATCAGGACTGCAGTAAAGCCACAGAGTTGTAAACAACAAATGTCCCTTTAAAGAAGGTAAGGATTGACAGGCTCCTTCTGATGCAGCACTGAGACCTCCTCCACTCTTGCAAGCAGATTTAGGGTGTGTACACAAGTGATCTATGCATGTTTTACAGTACTCAAATTTAGAGCACTTTTTTGAGCACTGTAAAGTTATAACACTCTTAAACATGACAGAAGTGCAGTGTTTCATGGGGGAGGAGGGTGGTATCTAAGCCTCCCTCTATTTTCCAAGCTAGGAGGCAGGGGGCACTCCATAGCTTCCCGGGGCTTCTCCACTGATCAGAAATTTGACCAGCATACAGAAGTTATTTCAAGCGCTGTAGATTGCTACAGTGCTATAAAATACAGCACTTCAAATTTAATACCTCATTTAACAGGAGCTAATTTAAAGCACTGGACCCAATTTTAAATGCCATAAAGCTGTGCACTTCTGTTAAAGTCACAACAATAAATGCTTTAAATGGCAGAAAAAACAGCTTCTGTACACACCTTTACTATGTCCTTTCTCCTTCTTAGCTGGGTCTCTTCTAGACTGGAACCCAAGGGAAAACAAAGAGATCCTGGGGCTGGGCAGAGGTACAAGCCTGAAAAAGTGCCACTGTTTTGCTTCAACTACTCCTTACCCTTGAGCATTTCTCCCTTCCCAGGATCCTATTTTAGCAGAAGTCCCTGCAAACCTCCCCATGCATTTTCACATCTAACCAGCCCACAATGCCCAAAGGACAGAAGAAGAACTCTCTCTAGAACTTCTGACTCCCAGGTCCTGACTCCCAGAGTGAACAGGAGCCGCATCACCCAAGCACTTTGAAATAGACAACACACTAGCCTGTGTGGCACTCTGGTACAGAGAACAGACCAAAACAAGGGTTATTTAATTGAAAAGGCTTACCTTTCACCTCTGTATTTTGGGGTTGGCTTCATTTTTTTAGATGACCAGTTCATTATTTGGCATCTTTTGGGGTTCAGGAGATAAGGCTGGTTTCCTGTAGGGGTTTCCCTGGACTTCTTTCTTTTCTGGAGAACAGAGCAGTTACAATGAAATACAAACCCAGGAGAAAAATGTTTCCTCAGGACCTTAAGCCTGGAATGCCTGAGCCCCTTACTGCCTTCTCTCTTCCAGATAAATATTTCCCAGGGGAAATAATCAGAAAGATGGGCATTTCATCTTAAAGGAGAGAAGGCACAGTGGATTGGTGAGGGTTTCTCCTCCTCAGGCATTATTTTGCATCCTGCAGTATCCTGCACTTTAACCTTACACCCACCCATGTCTTGATTTCAGCTGGGGCGGGGATTCTGTTGCAATGCTGCTGCTTAGTCACCTCAGTGTTTTGCTGTGGAGCAACACAAAGCAATGCCTCTCTTACAGTGAGGGCCAAGCCTCCACAGCCCTTTATTTCCACATAGGGGAACTATAAGCTGTGAATAATATGTCCAATCAGAGGTAATTGTGTACCACTCCACAGTGGTCTTCTTTCCACCTCTAAGATGCTGTACAGCAATGGCTGGAAACGCATATAGTCCAGAGGCATTATGCAAATACTGAAGAAGCTTACAGTGTCAAAGCCTCTTCCTCTGCTTTGCACTTCTTTCAAGGAAAGGAGATTTTCAGAGGGAAGATTTTTAACATACAGTCTTCTTAAAGGTTTTAGTCTAAACAGGGGAAAAAACCCACAGGAATTGAATTAATGGCAGCAGTACACATACGCTGTGCATAACATTTTACCAAAAGTCTGAACTTTCAGTTACGGTGAAAAGTAATCCCAGTTTTTATCAAGTACCTTCACAGGAAACCAGTATTTGATTCCCAGTCCTTCAGCAGCAGTTCCAGGCTGCTACACATGGAGTACAAAATACTCAGGAGGTGGGGAATGAGAGCAATGCCTCACACTTCAAAGGTCCCTGTCAGCTGGTAGGATACCAGTGATGAAGGAAATCTGATGCAGAAGGGTGATTCTTGTGGCTCCAATAGTGACATATAAGATTTTCCCTCTCCCATCCTTGAGAAACAATAAAATAAAACTAGCAAAAGTGTATATCTGAAAGGGTTAACTGGCATCAGCCTAAGCATCAGAGACCTGCTTGATGAGGTAGTAGTAAAATTATGCACTACAAAGGAAGGGGCCTGGGCTTGAACTGCAAACTCTTACTAAGTCAGCAAGAGGTTCTGGGAATAAATACTGTTTTGTATGATTCAGCAAGGACACCTACTGTCTGATCAGAACCTGAGTAAGTTCCACCCAAAGGAAATCTCAAGGAATGGAGAAAAAACAAGCTAAGGGGTCCAGCTCAGATTCCTTACCCATGCCCTGGGTTTAAAGACCTAACATGCGGACCCAGAAGTGGACCCAAAGTACTTCCGGTCCACTTCCAGGTTCACTACCGAGCACACGGAGGGCCTCCCCCCCGCCAGCACTTCCGTTGGATGCTCCATCTGCCCCAGCATCGCAGTGCTCACAAGCCATACTGGTACCTCGAGGTATGTAGAAAAAACATTTAAAGCTGTGCCTAAGTCTGAATTCTCTGATTCTCCAAATCAGCACTGAATCTTCAGATTCAGCCGAATCGAATCAGGGACACTGATCCAAATCAACTAATCAAATCACTGTCCCTGATTCAGGCCAAATCCAAATCCGAATCAAATAGGGCCCGCTTCGCACACCCCTACTATGCATCCTTTCCTCCAATCAATCCTGATTTATTTGCCAATCTTTTCAGAGCTGACATGCTGCCCTCTGTAACAAAAGGTTGACACAACACCCCTTAATCATTATGGCCCATCTGTTTCAGTTCCCCCTCTGCACCACAACTGAATTTCAGCCTAGAGAGTCTAAACCACAACAACCCTTTCTCTTAACTGCACCAATATGTAGATGACTCATCCATCTCATGCACGGGCTCAGATGACTATTTTGTAGAGTTTAAACCATTGAACATCCCATTACACAAGTGTATCTCACCCAAATATGGAGCTGGTCACAAGTCATTGGAATTTTAGCATGAACATGAAAGTACAGTGGACACATTTATTAATGCACCAACCCTGCTTTAAGTTGGCTCTTGAAGACCAGGGGCCAAATTCTAGTATCACCTCCTTACACTAACAACATCACTAACTTCTGTAACTGGGATCAGTGTAAACTGATCTATCAGCTGGAAAGCTTGGTTGAGATTTTCAAATGCCTCGACATTTAATGGAATTCAGTATCCAAATACATTAGGTAGCAATGGAAACTGCAGTTCTTGTGCACTAGATTCTACATCTATGCACTGCAAAAGATTCTTTCCCAAAAAAATAACTGAGGAAAATGATCAAGGCCAAAAGTGAGAGAGAGTTTGGTACACACAAGAAATGAAGTAATTGAGATGAACATGCAAAACCAGACGGTAGGTTCAAATGCAGCATGTGGAACTTGGTGGCTTTTCTCTGCTGCTGATTCCCCATGTTCAAATATCCATAGGGACCTACTTAACTTGTGACAAGACAAAGCCATTTTCATGGTTTTCTCCCAGCATGAAAAGCCTGTTTCACAGCAACCCTGCCCCTTGGCGCTGATTGGTGGAGTGGCCCCACCTCTCAGCACTGATTGGCAGAAAGGCCCTGGGGGAAGGGGTGGGGAGGAGAGACAAAAAGGCAACCAGCACCTTGACTCCTGGCTGCCCACTGTCCAGCCCCACCCCTCAGTGCTGACTGGCAGAGAGGCCTCAGCGGGGAGGAGGCCCACTCTATCTTGTCTGCTGCCCCCTTCAGGTTACCCCACAAGCCGGTGCCTTCCCCTCCCAGGTGGGTTGCAAGGCCCACCCAGGAGGGGAAGACTTAATAAAAACGTTTTTATTACGTTTCTTTTTTCGCAGATTTCCCTGGATTTTGTGGTTTTTATTAAATCTGCGAAACTACGATTTAGGCAGGTTTCTAAATATCCAGTCTGGCTCAACATTGACTAGGATCAAATACTTAGTGTTAAACTGAGTAAATAACTGATCAAATAACAGTGTTAAACACTGTTCTGTCCCATTTCAGACAAACATCTTCAGATTTACAGGTTCACAGCCAAGACCACTGTGAGCTACAAAACTATGTTTTCACTGGATTGCTACAGACAGCCACTAGCTATGGGTTTCAAGTTCAAATGACACATTTTGATCACCTGGGAAACAAGTATCCAAAAGCATCTTCTGCACTATGAAAGGGAAATACCCAGCCATCCCACCTCTAATACAGTGGGATGTCCAGCAAAGCCCTGACACTCAAAGCTCCATCTTGGGCTAAGCAGAATGCCACTGAGGTCACAATGGTGCACAGTATTCAGGGACATGGAGATTGCAGGATACATCTTCGAGCAAGGAGGACTCCTGGATGGCATTTTGTGGAAATAGGTGCACTCATGTGACTTCAGCTACCTAGCGTTTTGTCACTCATAACCTTAGGAGAAAGGGTCTAGTGTACATTGTTGTAACACAGGCTCAGGCAGGAGCCACATTACTAAGGTAGTCATGGGAGTGGGTGGCTATAGAGAGCACCTTGCACAGGTGAGGAGAATTACACACTGGGGGAAGGTCAGGGTAATTATCCCGCCACGGCTAAGCCCAGTGGCAAGTGAGCACACTTTGCCTTTGGGCACTGGGAGGAAGAAGGGAGGACTGCAAGAGAAGAAAAGAAGAGGGACAGAGAAGCCCGATCCACAACCCAGGAAAGCCCGGGACAGCAGACCCTGAGATGCCACGGCTGGCTGGTAAGGAGGCGAGGTACTTACTCGAGACCTGCAGTCAGTGTGGTTAACCCAGGGAAGAACTGGGGCTCTGGGAGATCGTCATGATGAGGAGAACCCCGAGGTAGGGGGCTTCAGGGCGGCACATGGGCAGCAAAAGCAGCACAGAGTCGTTCGCGCCACTGGACAGCTAAGAGCAGAGCTGGGTCTACTATTAGGCACGGGGAGGTAGCCACAGAGGCAGCTCCTGGCTCGGGACTCGCAGAGGTGCAGGGAACGCTCCCCGCTAATGAGTTAATTAGTGGGGAAGACGCAGCCTGAACCAAATAGCCTAACACATCCGGGGCGCTCTCAGGCTTCTGGAGTTACCTTATCAGCTACATTGGTTTCCCTCACTAATGAGGTAATTAACGAGGTGAATGCAACTTTGTAACCTCCTGCTAAGAATAAAATCAGCACTGTGTGAGTTCATCATCTGGGTAATTTGTGGTGTTTCCTCATCCCTAAGGATATCACTGAACATTTTTTTCTTTCAATCAAAGTCATGGCAGGGGAGTTCAAAGGGAAACCGAGATAGACCCAGCCACCCTCCCACAGTTGTACTTATCACTATGAAACTTACTCTGTTTGTGTGTGTACAACAGGCCTCTGAGGTTTTCGATGTATATTTGGGATCCATTTGACAATCAAATTTCCACCATCGGGCCAACTGGCCTGAGTGGGAGCAGCTAGCTCACCAAGATTGATCACTTGAAGCTAAGATACAAACATGATACAGTTAACCACTTTTAAAGGTACAAGTCCTAAGGCACTCAAAATGCTGCGGGAGGGTCACTGCACTCCTGCAAGTGCCAAGCAGTGTTCCCTCTAAGCTGTGAGGCGTGTGCAGCTGCACAGGCACGCCTGGCAATGCAGCATGAGTGCACCTGCACGGCTGTGTACACCACACAGCTTAGAGGGAAGGCTAGTGCCAAGTAATATGTTGCAGTTTTCTTTCAAGTGATGAGATACAGAAATGAACGGCTAATTATGTGTGATCCTACAGAACTTCTCACAAGAGATTATATTATGCAGAGACCATCCTTCCATGGCAATTTCCCAGGAGCCCAAAGGCTAGCTCTGAGTTTTCTCAGGAGAAGACACTTGCATCTACTTGTGTCTCCCCCTTCCACTTTAAATCACTCACTTTTCCAACTCTGTTCAAGTAGGTGAGGTTCATCTGTCTGTGCAGGATCACATGTGACTCTGTTGCTGAGTTCAGTCCTGGGAAATGAAGTCTTTCTGAACTGAAATAGAAACACAAGTCAGAATCATGAGGAGACCAACACAAACTACCAATATGAAAGAAAACTTTAAGTACTACAATATCGAGCTTTTCCTCTCCGAAGTATGATACAAGTGCTAAAGTGGAAAGCTCCTCATTGGCTATCTGTCCTAGTGCAGATGCCCTGTGCATCCTACTAAATCACACGGAAATCCCATTTGACCAGTAGACTTATAGGGAGATTCTGAATCCTCTGAATAGTTAGAGAAGCTTACAATGATGTGGTCTCTGGGATATACTGAACTTTTGACTGGTCTAAAATCTGGGGGTGGTTCAAATGGTCTAAAGTTTGAGGTTAAAATGCTGAATTTGGAGGCCTTTGTCACAGATGACCTAAGCTTAGGAGGTCTGAGCTAAGGAGCAGAGAGTTCCAGAGGGCATCCAGACCCTGGCAGACTCCCCTGGGAGTTGTTATTGTCTTTTCTTCTTGGGTATTTATCTCTCTAAGGGGAAAACAGTTTAAAGAGAGAACACCATGAAAAATTAGGGTTGCCATTGCACTACAAGTGAGAAGGTAACCATTTAAAAATGAGAAAGTGCCACCATGAGGCTGCCAACTCTAATTTAAAAAGGAATACCAAACAGGTTAGTAAACTATGTCTTTCTGTAATTAAAAAAGAAGAAATAAATTGACCAGGAGCACAAGAGAACAACAACAACAAAAACAGATGGGCAAGGATACATTTCTATGGTATTTTCTAAAATAAATCCCTAAAAGTACTCTTAACAAATAACCAATCCTTGTAACCTATCCTGTAATTCAGGGGTAGCCAATCTGCAACATGGGTGGCACAAGCAGCCTATATATAGCACATGGAAGACTGGGGAGGGTACAGGCAGCACAGGGGCTGATAAGGCAGTAAGCAGAGCAGCAGCTTGTTCAGGAAACAGAAAGCAGAGCGGCAAAGGGATCAGACTGGCACTCCAGGGACAGTGTGGGGCTAATTTGTGGCATGCCCCTACTGCTGTAACTCATGCTTGCAGCCCTTCTGTTGGTTGGGCCCCATCCAGAACTGTGTGAGTTTTACTGGAAATGAGCTAACAGAGCTGGGTCATTTGGCTCAAGAAGTAGAGGAGAGAGACATAATTAGCCACAATAGTCTGAATTCAAGTGAAAAGCAAGGTAGACTTGCACCTCAAAATAGATATATAGCATAAGCTTTCGTTAGCTGAACCTCACTTCATTAATTGCTGTAAAGGCTCATGCTTTTCAGATCCAGACGTCTCAGATATGTGTCTATTATTAACAGCACATCCACTGTTGTCACATTGCAAACTAAGGTGACGTATTCATCATTACCCTGATCAGTTTATGCCCATGTTTGCTCCCCCTGTTTACATCAAGCAGTAACTCGCTGCATAACCAGTCCTACAACTAGTTATGGTGCAGTAGGTTATCGTTTCTTAGGACAGAAGGGGATAGAACTGATTCAAATGTATTTATCCTAAGACAAATTATGCACAGGCTAAAACATTTACAGGTTCAAGGTCTACACATGCTTACTCTTGGTCACTAAAAACAATTTCAGTTTATATATAAAATTAAGCACAGGGGTTTGCATATCTCACCTGCAGACTCTTCCTCTCCTGTTGTTTTTTATTTCTTTCTATCTTGCCTATTTAAATTGTAACTGCTTCACAACAAGGACTATGCTTTTCATGACTATGAATAGTACCAGCCACAATGTGACCTGGTCCTGACTGGAATAATGACTATTTAATTATGATACAGCCTATTGTAAAAATAATCAATCTATTTTTTTTTTATTACTTGTATTTCCTAGACCCTGATCTAACAAACACTTATGCATGTCCTCAACACTGAAATCAGTGAGAACACTTACTTGAGTCTTTACTGTGCCTGGCTCCCTGTGATCAGTGACCTGAGGCAGAATGTCTTGCACTGAAAAGCTTGTCTAACTTCATCCCAACTATACAGTTGATT